CCAGGCAGGGTTGTGGGTTGTTTTGTTTCCTACAGCTTCTTTGTGGGAAGCAATCTAGGGCCTTTTTTTGGCTCATCCTATTCTGCACCCAGCTCACAAACAGCTTGGGAAAAGCAGAGATTTGTCAGGTTTTCTTTGAAATACTCCCCTGCACTGTGACTAAGCCAGCAGGCATTTATGAGAGGAGCTGGAGTCAGTCGGAGTCTCCCCTTCCCCTACCCCTCCCCAACCACAAAGTGTAGCTGATCTTCTACCCAAGAATGGCCTAGTACCCCCTAGAACAAGCTGAAATTCTAGTTGCTTCCAGTGAGGTGCTTTTAAAATGTTGTCTTAAAGAACTCCATGGGTCTGGGGTGGAACTCTCTTTTTAGAGTGCTTGCCTAATATGCCGGAAGTCCTGGGTTTGTCACCCAGCACTGCATACACTGGGTGATGGAGACATATGCTTAACCCTCCCACTACTGGGGTGTTCAGAGTCATCTCTTGCTACATAGATCAAGGCTAGCTTGGGCTACATAGAACTCACCTCTATAGCAATAAACACCAGAAACCCACCAGATGGGGTTGGCACTATGTGTGTGCGTGTGTGAGCTTCTGCCATGATGCATGTGTGGAAGTCATAGAACAATCTCCAGTGTTGATCCTCATCCTCCATCTTGTGTGGGACAGGGTCTCTTGTTCACCATTGTATGTACACCAGGCTAGCTGGCCCAAGAACTTCCAGAGATTTCTCCTGTTCCCACCTCCCATCTCATCGCAGAAATGCTGGGATTACACTTGCGATGCTGTGCCCAACTTTACCTGAGTTGTAGATTTGAACTCATACTTGTTCAGCAAGTGCATAATCCAGTGAGCCACTTCCCCAGCCCAGCACGACTGCATGTCCCCCTGCCCCTTTATGTAGATGCCTTCAAAGCATTTTCCATCCTAGTTACTTCCAAGCTCAGGGAAACTGCTCTCTAGCATGTGGACATATATCCCTGAGGCACTTGGGACAGTGAAGAGTGGCACCTTGAGTGTTCTATGAGAGAGGCCACTCAAGCAGTAAGTTCCAGGGTAGCCCACAGGTTTGGGACAAATCCTAGAAAAGACATGTGATTCCAGGCCAGGATTCTAGGGAAGGTGAATCTGGAGCTGTAGAGATCAGCCAAGAGTCACCGCTCACCCTGGGAGTGTCCTTTGGATGATGCTGTGAATTCCCTACTACACTAATTAATACTGCTCCCACTAGGGAGTATGGCTCTTTCCATAATGAGAAGCAAGTGTTCAGTTCTGGCCAGCAAAGAGTGGCATCCTTCCGGGCTAGGACTTGTGCTCTTGGCTTCTGCCCCTCCCAGTGCTGGGGCACGTGAACATGGCTCCACCTCAGGGTATGACCCAGCCTCCATCAGTGACTGACCACATGGGCCTGTTGCCTCTCGTTGCAGACCTACAGCCAGCTGGCCCACCCTATTCAGCAGGCCAAGGCTCTGGGCCTCCAGTTCCACTCCCGGATCCTGGACGTCAGCAATGTGGACGTAAGTCACCCCGAGGAAAGGGATGCCCAGTGAAGCACCAGCTGACAGCCTGTTAGATGGAGCCAGGCCTTCGGTCCCACTACTCAAGGCAGGAAGCTCTTACGGAAAGGTCTGCTTGGGCTACAGAGGGAGTTCCAGGCTAATCTGGGTCACTTAATGACACTATTGCAAAAGAAAAGGTAAAAAGAGGCCTGGCCTAGCATTGGTAAGACCCCAGGGTTGAATTCCTAGTACAACAACAAGCAAAAATGTATTCCTGCCGGGCGTTGGTGGCGCATGCCTTTAATCCCAGCACTCGGGAGGCAGAGGCAGGTGGATCTCTGTGAGTTCGAGACCAGCCTGGACTACCAAGTGAGTTCCAGGACAGCCTCCAAAGCCACAGAGAAACCCTGTCTCGGGGAAAAAAAAAATGTATTCCTGCCTCACAAGGCTTTTCGTATTTCTGTGGTTGGCATATAAGTGATCTTGAGATGGGGTCTTACTCTGTAATCCTAGCTGGCCTGGAACCCACACCCATTCATTCATTGCCTTTGCCTCCCAGGTGCTTGGACCTAGACCACCATGCCTAGAGTTTGTTGTTTGTTGTATTTTATTTTGTTTTGTTTTGTTTTTTTAACTTCTTGGTGGTGCAGAAGTGATTATTGTATATTAGTGAATTTGGTTGAAACCATACTTCAGATTTTATTCAAAGTTCTATGAGGGCTGAGGAGATGGCTTTGTGGGTAAGAACACTCGCTGTGAAAACAAGAGATGCTGACTTTAAATAGCCAAGTCTAGCTGCTCATGCCCATAACCATTTGGGTGAAAACAAGATGACCCTGGGAAATTGCTTGCCAGCCAGCCTGGGCAAAATGTTGAGTATAAGGTCAGTAAGAGACCCCATCTGAAAGCCAAGGTAGGGAGCGATCGAGGAAGCATCTATTACCCTTCTCTGGTCTCTATTAGTGTGCACCTGTTGGCACACATACTAATGTACAAGTGAAAAATAAAAGCAAAACTCTCTGCAGTGAACCAAACACACCTATGCCAGCACTCTCGAAGTTGAGGCAGGAGGATCTCAAATGTTCAAAGACAATCTGGCCTAAATAATAAAACCATATTTTAAGAAAATCCATATTATAACTTTATTATAAAATAGGCTTTGTTGCCGGGCGTTGGTGGCACGTGCCTTTAATCCCAGCACTCGGGAGGCAGAGGTAGGCGGATCTCTGAGTTCAAGACCAGCCTGGTCTGCAGAGTGAGTTCCAGGACAGTCTCCAAAACAATACAGAGAAACCCTGCCTCGAAAAAAAAAAAAAAAAGGCTTTGTTGGCTGGATGTGATAATCCCAGCATTTGAAGTCTGAGGCAATGAAGTCCAGGGCCATTTATAACTATATAGTAAGTTCAAGGCCAGCCTGGGTTACCCCAGACATTGTGTCATGATAAAAATAGGCTTTGCATTACTTTTTTTTTTTTTTTTTTTTTTTTTTTGTATTTTAGTGAGTTTTCAATATCTTCTGTTTGGGGGAGGACTGTAGACAGAGTTTCTCTGTGCAGCTTTGACTGTCCTGGAACTTACAGAGATCCTCCTGCCGCTGCCTCTCCAGTGCTGAGATTAAAGGCTGAACCACCACTGCGCCTATTCAATATTTTCAAGTGAATTTCAGGCTGGCCCTCACCCTGCGTCCAGGAGCACCTGTGCTGTTGGGCCCTGGTGAGCATTGCCGAGGCCTCGGTGTCCTTGAGTCCCGCTGCAGTGGTTGGTTCTGACTGGCGGCTGAGCTTCAGTCACCCGGTGGGAGCTGCAGACAAAGCAGCACCGCCTTCCGGCCCTCCCTCACCCCCAGTCTGGGAACAGAGACGTCTCACAGCTGAAGGCCTGGTGTTGTCCACAAGATGAGCCTGTTGGAAAGTCACTCCCCCAAAGTGGGCAAGGGGTGCTGTGCTTTTAGCGGGGCAAGTGCCAGGCTCTTTCCTTCAGGTGCAGCTTTGGGGTTTCACCTCCCGGATAGTGGGAGGGTGCGCTCTTGAGGCCGGGCTTTTTTCTGTGTTGCCTGCAGCTGGCCATGGGCAAGATGATGGAGCAGGGCCCTGTGCTGATCGTCACCTTCCAGGCCCAGCTGGTGATGGTGATCAAGAACCCCAAAGGCGAGGTGGTCGAGGGTGACCCGGTGAGTGGGGAATCGAGGGACTCTTCTCACACAGATTGCCCCATGGCCAGCATAGACCCTAGTCTGAGCCAGGAGGGTTCTGGAGTTGGGGAGAAACAGGTAGGAGTTGGGATCACCATCTTGCCTGAACAGTGACCAGAGCCAGCAGCCCCAGGCACCCCTCCCTGGACTCTCCTAGAGCCTTTCTTGCCTCCCCCAGAAGTCCTGTCCACCCCACCCCACCCCCATACACACCCACTAAACCCGGCCCCTCGCTCTGCCTGGTCTCCACAGGACAAGGTGCTGCGCATGCTGTACGTGTGGGCGCTCTGCAGAGACCAGGAGGAGCTCAACCCTTATGCTGCCTGGCGCCTCCTGGACATCTCAGCCTCCAGCACAGAACAGATCCTCTAAGGGCAATGACGGCATCTAGGCTGCTCCAGAGCTAGAGCATCATGGGACAGAGACACGGGCTCCGTGAGGCACCGTGGCGCAAGACTGACCCAAGACCCAAGTTCTTCGGGGCAGCTGTGAAACCCACTGGACAAGGAAAGGGTTGGAGATGCCTTGCAGGGTTGGCATGTTTGCCAGAATGCCACAGGGGGCTGCTGGCGGTGTCAAGAGGTCCCAGCCCAGGGGCGCCTGTGGCCAGTGGGGTGAGGCCTGCCTGGCCTGCTGTTCTAAGTAGTCCACTGGCATTGCCTGCCAAGCCACTTTTAGGTCCTTTTTTTTTCCCTTTTTAATCAATGCTCTTACTTCCTGTACATAAGCCTAAGATCTGAACATAATAAAACACCAAAGCGCAGAAGAGCTGTTTGAACGGTGTGAAGTGTATGTCTCTGCTGGGAAGGCTGGGACCGAGGGCCTGTCAGGGAGCTTCAAGGTCAGGGGAGCCAGATAGGGTGCCATCTTCTCCGGCCAGGACCCTGCCCTCTTGTGGGGAGAATACCCACCCCAGCTATCTGGGATTTCTGTTGAACTGGGGGTTCCCTGAGACTGAGCGGCATAAACACTAGTGGGCGGTGCCTGAGAGCTTCGGAGTCCTCCTAAAACAGAGACTGGGATGAGGGGTCGGCCGGGAAGAATAGAGAAACAGATACGGAGGTCAGGGTGAGGCTTCCGTGGTGGGGGCTAGCAACTACCCACACCCTGCTGAGGTCCTGGGTGCTCTGGGAGCTGGAGCTGGGCCTGTCTCTGCAAGCACTAGTGGTGGGAAGGTCCCATCTACTGATAGGCAGGCCGGGGCGGGGTCACAAGCCCAGGCACTGCTCCCAGCACATCCTCCACCCCTCGCGGCCCCGCCCCCGTCGCCATGGGAACAGCCGCGGCGGCCCGGCTGGCGCGCGTCTCTCCTTCCTCCCTCGGTCTCCACCGCTCCAGGGGCGGGTGGGGTGGGCTGAGCCGGGGCTGCCACAGCCTCCGCCACTACAGCCGCCACCCTGGGAGGACCAGAGCAGAGCAGCGCACGAGTCCCGGGAGAGAGGGACTGTGGGGCGGCCGTCCCCGTCTAGGACCAAGGGTGAGGGGGGGCGCGCTGTGGCTGGGGAGGCGGCGACGGGTGGGGGGAGGGGGTCTTGAGCCGCGGAGAACAAAGGGAGCGGGGTGGGGACCAGTTTAAACCGTGCGGCTCGGGTCCCTGGCCCAGCGCGTTCGCACCTGTTGTGCGCGGGCTGGGTAGATCTGAGTAGCCCTGTCCTGGCTCTCAGCGACCCCACCTGCACGCACCGCTAGAGTTGGGTCCCGCGTGGCTGTGGCGGTGGAGCACACAGGCTGGGCATGGGCGTAGCCCGAGACGACAGCACGGACAGGGACGGTATTGCGAGATACTGCAAAGGGGCGACTACAGAAGGGGTGGATGGAAGTGCAGGGAGGGCGTAGCCTCATCCCCGTGGACCCCGGGGTGGGCACCCCTCTCTTCGCAGGGCACGCGGCGATGTGAGCTATGAACGCGGCGTGGACACTGTCACCGGAGCCGCTGCCGCCATCGACGGGGCCCCCGGTGGGCGCAGGCCTGGACGTCGAGCAACGCACGGTGTTCGCCTTCGTGCTCTGTCTACTCGTGGTGTTGGTTCTGTTGATGGTGCGCTGTGTGCGCATACTGCTAGACCCCTATAGCCGCATGCCCGCCTCGTCCTGGACCGACCACAAGGAGGCGCTCGAACGAGGGCAGTTCGACTATGCGTTGGTGTGAGGGGGCACCCAGTCCCGGGCTGGTCCTCTGAGAGATCCCAAGAGGGCCGGCCCGGTGGAGGAATGCCACTAGCCTGGACTGCACTCAGTATTGTGCCCCAGATGCCCTAGCCCGGAGTTGAAGGCGTCCAGAGAAATCCAGTCCTTATCCCGTTAGCCACCCATCTCCCTTCCTGGCCGGGCCAGAACCCCACCTGGTGCCTTTATCTGTCCTGTCCCCTTCTCTCTGCACACTTATCCTCACCGCTGATCCCTCAGCTCTGTATACCTTAGTGGGCACCCCGCATCACTAATCATCCCGCACCAACCTCAGCCTTCCCCAGCTACCAGGCATGAGTGTTACATCCTTTCTTGGGAGTGCGGACTCCTTCATCCCCTTCTTTCCCTTGTGATCGTTGCCAATTTCAATGCCCTCCTTGAGTTCTGGCCCTGGCAAGCAGGCTGTCTTCGGCTCCCTATGGACGCTGCCTACCTACAATGCATGGTACAGCCTGCCCCAGAGGCAGACCCTGAAGCCCCACCATGGTTGCTGCTGTGTCGAGAATGTCTGGCACGTCATGTGCAGGAGGAGTACAAGCGGGCTCACCCGCTTCAGCCCCAGCCCCAGCCCAGGTTAGAGTGCCTTTCCTCGGCCTCCCGGCTCCCAACTCCCCCATGTCCCCGGGCCCCTCCCTTGCCTTTTCACTCCTCCCTGCTTCTGAACGATGGAGGTGATAATAAAAGCTATTATTGAGCGCTTACTGCATGCCAAGCAGAGTGAGTTAGCTGGTCCTGTTCTTAGCCTGTTTGCTTCTGGGAATTTGTGAGAATGAGCCAAGCCCCTGTTAGAATCCCCATCCTACAGGCCAGGGGACTGAAGTCCAAGCTGCTAGACTGACTGACTTGCCTCAGGCCATTGATGTGGAATTAGAATCCAGATCTGCTGTCTGATCCTGCAAATACCCAATTTCAAACATAGCCTTTCAGCAGCTTGGGGGGAGGGAGGCTAACGGTTATCTCCATCCCCCTAGCTCACGGCATAGTTGAGACACCCCACACACATGCACTCTTTTCCCCTTGACCCAGGGAACCTCTGGGGAATCTGGGGACTCTGGGGAGCTAGAATGGAGTGCCTTCAGGAAGCCTGGAGGTTGCTTTCCATAAACCAACTTGCATCCCCCCAACTCCTGAGCCTGATCCCTCCTGTCCCCACCATCAAGTGTGTCTCAGAACCTGTGGGTTTGGCTGTGACCATGGAGTGGGTTGGCTAGGCTCCATAGTCTGCCTGGGAGAGGTGTTGTGAGCCTCAAGGAGCGAGCCGTGTGCAGTGTGTGTGGGGAGAATTGAGCCTTTCTATAAAAGGAAAGCCATGCGAAGGCACAGCTCAGGGAACAGAAATTTTACTCACTCTGAGACAACTTGTTAGGCGTGGGGGAGGGAGCTGTCATGGGAGGGCGCCTAGTTCCCGAGAGGCCTAGTTCCCCAGGCCTGTCCTTTGTACTGTGGGAAGCCCAACAGCACAAAGGGAAGTGTGGGGTCTTGGGGTTCAACAATGACTCTAGCCACTCCCCCAGCTCTAACCCACACCATCCTAACGCTCCTCCAGGTCTGCCTCCCTCCTCCATTTATTTATTTCTTTTTTTTTTTTTTTTTTTTTTTTTGGTTTTTCGAGACAGGGTTTCTCTGTATTGTTTTTGGAGGCTGTCCTGGAACTCGCTCGGTAGACCAGGCTGGCCTCGAACTCACAGAGATCCACTTGCCTCTGCCTCCCGAGTGCTGGGATTAAAGGCGTGCGCCACCAACGCCCGGCTCCTCCATTTATTTCTAAGGGGAGCTGAGGCTCCATTCCCTTCCCCCTCCACCCTCTGCGAGTCCCCCAGAGGAATCCACCTTTCCTCCCTGGAACATAGCTTTGCTCTGAAATCTTGTCCCTAACACCTGTCCCACATGCGACCAGCCCAGCTTTCCTCTTCCACCCATTTCTCAGAGCCACCTCCACAGTCACCAAGGAGCTCCTTATGGCCAAACTAAGGTCACTCTAAGTAACAGCTTTTTAAATGATTATACACTTGTGTGCTCGGTATGGGTGTACGTGCTGTAGTGTGCATTCACACGACTTTGAGGAATTGTTTTCTTCACCTTTACATGAGTTCAAGGAATTAATCTCAGGTTGCCAGGCTGCACACTAAGCACTTAACCCTTGGAGCTATTTCACCGCCCAGGCACCAGCTTTTGCTAGGGATGGCACACTCGTCCTTGGCGTCTTGCTCCAGCTCCCAAACTGTCATTTCAGAGCCCCCACTCCCATCTTTGTCACAAGGAAAAGAGCGTAGTTAGCTACTTAGATGATAGCTTTATTGAGAGTTACAGGACACCCCAGAAAAGGGTGGAGGGAAAGGTACAGTGGTCAGTTAGGTAAGGGAATCTAAATGCAAGCCCAGCTTGAGGAGGGCAGATACTTGAAGCAGATGATGCTGTCGTGGTACCCACAGCAGAGCACAAGGCCCAGCTGGGTTAGGGAAGCCAGCCCCACCTGTCTGTCCAGGAATTCTGCCTGTGTGTGCAGATCCCCTGTCTCCACTCATTAGAGCCCTACTTCCCGTTCTGAGGCTGCTGCTGTAGGAAGCATCTGAAGATGTAGCCGGTGGCTGGACACCATGTCAGGGACTTCCACAATCATCCTCCTGGCCACCCGGTACAATGGTGCTGGACTGAAGTTCCAGGAAGAAGTCAGCATATCTGGTTTCCATATTCCTCACCTCGAAGGGGTGGGCACCTGGCCCAATAGCTCTAGGGGTACCAGGAATGGGTTCAGTGGGCAAGTCCCAACTGCTTGCCAGGCCGGCCTCTGTTCCATGCGCTCAGAGGCTTGAGGACTGGCTTGGTCAGGCTCCTCTGGCCCCTTGGAGGCAGTCCCTCTGTCTTCACTCCCAGGCCTGGAGCTCTTCCCAGCAGGGAGAGAAGTCTGGGGGGCCATCAGCTGAGCATATGTTTTTGTCATATGTTCCACCAGGGCTGTGCAAGGCAGGTGGGCCAGCTCCTTTGGAAGTGACATGAGCAGGTCAAGGACCACAGCTGACTCTGACAGAAGGAAAGGGCAAGAATGAGGGGACAAGGTTTGACCCTATGCCCCAACCACCCTCCACTGGAGCCCCTCTCCTCCCCAACTCCTCTTACCAGCTGCTGAGAGCTCAGGGCCATGGCCATTTCTGGAGGAGAAGGACAGGTATTTGTAGATCTTCTCGAAGTCCACAGCCAAATCTCTCTCTGCAGAGGGGCCAGCCGGGGACTTGGTTGGGGTATCAGAGACAGTGACCTCAGAGGCAAGGCCCAAGGTGTCAGGGTTGGAGTCAGAGGGCTTAGGGACAGGGATGGAGGCCTCAGGAGTGAACTCAGTGGTCATAGGGGCGGGCCCGCCTTCAAGGTCAGGGTCCCTCTGCCCTCCTTGGGTACCCAAGAACGGCAGTGGCTTTCCACAGGCCTTCGTGGGCTTGGCCGGGGTGGAGTGCAGGAGGCTGACGGGTTCTGCAGCAGCAATGGTGAGCACCTGATGGGGAGGGGAGCGGAAGGGAAGGGAAGGGAAGGGAAGGGAAGGGAAGGGAAGGGAAGGGAAGGGAAGGGAAGGGGGAAGTCTGTCACCTTCCACACTGCCCTGCTAGGCCTACAATAAGTCCTGTAGCTCTACCCACTTACCAAACCCTCCTTGCCATTCTGAAGGCGACACATACAAGAGATGGCCTTAGACACATGACTCAAGTGTCGCTGCCTTGCTGGGGTCGTTGGTTTGGCAGCAGCAAAGGCCCAGGACCCTCATCTACATTTCCCCCTACTTTTCTTTTTGGGTACTGGCAGGGGAGGCAGGGAACTCAGCTGGTGAGTCTCTTTCCTTCAGATTTAGAGATTCTATACACCACCACTGCCTGACTAAACCCACTGGGCCATACCCACCGCTGTCCTGTAACAGATACCCTTGACCTGCTGAGGGCCGGCGGGTGTACCTGGGAGAAAGCTGCAGTCAGGGCTCCCTCCAGTGGGCCTGTCAGTTTCTCAGCAAGATCCATCCATACCTGGGTGAAGCCCAGGCGCACGGTCAGTCTGGAGACCCGTCCCCAGGGACCTCCCAGGCTTTGCCCTTCCTGGAATCCCTCTGACCAGGTTATCCTCCCTCCTTCAAGGGCCAGCCCTAGGCAGCCCGCACTTTAGCCACCTGCCTCACCTCTATGGGGGCTGGGAGCTGCGCTTCTTGACGCCTTAGACCGTCTGTGCCTCCTGGGTGCACCTTCCGAATGGCCTCACGAACCACTCGACCTTTGAGCTGCTGGATAAATCGGCAGATCTGGACAAGGAGGACAAGCTTTCTCTGAGCTCAGAAATGCAGGCAAAAGCAAAGTCTACTGCCTTGTTTGTTTCAGGGACTGCCACTGCTCCCTACCCTGGACTAGCCCAATGTTGGGTCTTCCCGAAACTGCCGGGACGAAAGACAAGGCCCCCGTGTGTGACCAGCCACCTAATGTAAATGTAGACGCCGGGCCTATTCTTGCTCCTTGCTGGGGCTATAGTCTGCTCTTCTAATGAGAACTAACCAAAGGTCCTGTCCGACTTCACCTTCGTTGTTAGGCTGATTTATACAGCACTGGTAGGACTGGTAGAGATAGTACTAACTGCCCTGGAATATGGAGACCGGGCAGCTGTAAGACTCAGTTCTGGGATCCCACGTGCTGGGATTAAAGGCGCATGCCAGCACACACAGCTACCAGCTCCATCCTGAGCCGTTCCCCGCCTCACTTCACCTCCAATCCGCCCTTGATTTCCCCTGGCCACACTCCCTGGAGCCTCACAACTCTCCCCAGCCTCACCCACAAAGGCACTCCACCCACCGCTCACGCCCCACCTCCAGGCTTACCCACTCACATCCCTACTCATGTTCACTTCTTCTCCTTCCTTCCTTCCTTCCTTTTTCTCCATCTCCGAGTAGCCCTGACTATCGTGGAACTCGCTCTGTAGACCAGGCTGAATCGAACTCACAGAGATCCTCCTGCCTCTGCCTCCCAGCGCTATGATTAAAGGTGTGCACCACCAATGCCCAGCAGCTCTACCCCCCTTTCTTTTTTCGACACAGGGTTTCTCTGGAACTAGCTCTTTTAAACCAGGCTGATCTCGAACTCACAGAGATCCTCCTGCCTCTGCCTCCCAGCGCTATGATTAAAGGTGTGCACCACCAATGCCCAGCAGCTCTACCCCCCCTTTCTTTTTTCGACACAGGGTTTCTCTGGAACTAGCTCTTTTAGACCAGGCTGATCTCGAACTCACAGAGATCCTCCTGCCTCTACCTCCTGAGAGCTGGGATTAAAGGCGTGCGCCGCGCCCGGCTCAGCTCCACTTTCTTTGCATACAGACCCACAATCTAGTAGCGTGCCACCCTGGTCCTCCCCCGACCCCAGCTTCACCCTAAGCTTCAGGGTCGCCCCTCCACTGAGCAGTCAGGCCCCTTAGATGTAACCAGGGTCCGCTCCAAAGCGCCACAACGGCCCCGCCACCGAGCTCCACCCACTCGGCCCGCTCCGGCTCTGCCCGGCCCGCACGCTCCCGGTCTCTGCCCCCAGCCCCGGGGTCCCACCTCGGCCTCGCTGCGGCCCCGCAGCTCTTTGGCCAGCTCCGCGGCGTCTGGCTCCGGCTGGTCCCGCCGAGCCTGGAGCAGTCTCAGTAGATGCCGCATCTCGCGGGGGCTCCAAGCTGTGGGGCCGGTAGTCTCACCTACATAGCGGGCGGGCACCTTCCGACTTCGCTGCGGTGGCTTCATACCGCAACTCAGTCGCTGTCTCTCCTGGAGGGCGGAGCTACGGTGGCTGCGAAGTTCTGAAAAAGCACTACGCGGAAGGCGTAGCAAATGGGGGCGTGGCTCGCGTTTGTCAGCTGAAGCAATGGCTCTGGAGGGGAGACCGAGGATGGCGAGGGATCCCCGAGGTTTTGTTGTGGTTTTTCTTTCGAGGCAAGGGTTTCTCTGTGTAGTCCTGTCTGTCCTGGAACTCACTCTGTAGACCGAGCTCGACTCGAACTCACAGATATCCTCCTGCCTCTAAATCCTGAGTGCTGGGATTAAAGGCGTGCGCCACCACCGCCCAGCGGAATCCCCGAGTTTTATCTGCGCTTTATATCACTCATGAACTGAAGCCAAAGCTTTAGACCCTATATTCCTGAGCCAACTCATGAAACATAAACTATGTGCTTTTCTTTTCACCTCATTCCGGGCGTTGGTGGCGCACACCTTTAATCCCAGCACTCGGGAGGCAGAGGCAGGTGGATCTCTGTGAACTCGAGGCCAGCCTGCTCTACAGAGCGAGTTCCAGGGCAGCCTCCAAAACAATACAGAGATGTGGGGACATCAGACCTTGGGCAGAGACCCACTTCCCCATCAGCCTGGGAGTAGGCAGCTGTAAGACAAAGTTTACTAAAAACATGTTTACTAAAAATAATACAATGCCTGGGGCAATAAGTTCCTGAAAAGGGCTGGCCCACGGGAACCCCCTCTTCAGACCCACCCGCCTCCACCTCTGGTGTCAGGGTATATAATAACGAGCCAAAATAGGAATAAAAGAGAGCCTTCTTGAGGAGCCTTTGGGTCTCTGTGTTGTCGATCCCTGACACCCTCCGCACATTCTCGGACACAGGCTGCGAAGCGGGCGTGGCACAGAGAAACCCTGCCTCAAAAAACAAACAACAGTGGGTTTGTCATGTGCGATGCAGGGTCTCTCCCTGTAGCCCTGGTGGGCTGGATCTCAATATGTAGACCAGGCTGGCCTCAAACTCACAGAGGTCTTCCAGAATGCTGGATTTAAAGACATACGCACCCACACCCGGCCCACTTGCAGTTCTCACAGATGACACTACTTTGGTTCCCAGCATCGATCAATTATAGCTCCAAGGGATCCGATATCCTCTTCTGACCTCTCCAAGCACAGTCATGCATATCATACACATACATACATGCAGGCAAAACACTCACACAGAAATCTCAACAAACAAAACAACCCTGGCTTGCCAGGAGTGGTGACTACTAATCTCAGCATTTGGGAAGCGGACACAAGAAGACCATTGAGTTCCAGGTTAGCCTGGGCTACATGGTGAGAGCCTAGCTTGAAAGAAACACAGTTCCGGGTTATGGGGGTCCATATCCCTGGAGACTTTGACAAAGGTGGTTTGGTATTGCTGAGCCTCGATTTCCTCATGGGTAAGCTAACCCTGGACGTCCATTGTTGCACAGAGGAGGGGCGTTTGAGTAGGAGGGAGTCAAGAGGCACATGGAGACCTGAATGAAGGCGGGGCCCGGGGGAGAGCAAAGGTCTGACTTGGTGAAGAGTGAAGGAGCTGGTGTTGCAATGGGGGAAGGAAGCAGGACTTAATTTAAACTTACGGTGGCCAAGTTGGGTGTCATTTTCTGTTCCAGGCAAATGGCCCCTGACTCTCCCTGGGTATATGTGTTCATGGGGGCTGGAGTTGCACTCCTCCGATCTAAGTCTATCCCAGCCACAAATCTCCCCCAAGCTTTAGTCCCAAGGCACAGCCTGGAGCTTGCCTTCCCTAACCCCACTCCCACCCCGCCACCCTGTGCTTGGGAGCACATTGACTCCACTAGACGTTAGCAGGCAGCTCATCCGTTTATTTTGAACCAGGGGAGTAGGGATGAGAAGGCGGGGGGGGGCAGGCAGGAGAGATGGGCAGGAGTCCTCTCAAAGGGCTCGGAATCCTTGGCTGGGTACATCTCAGGACCTCACTGGGTTGCGCCAACTCTAGAGGGGGGGGGTGGCAGAGGCTCAGCCTGGGAGAGCACTACTCAGGTCACAACATTTTCCCAGCAGGTGTTGGCTTCCTCCCTCAGTCTATGCACCGGTGTGAGACTAAGTAAGAACTGGTGTCTAAATCCCTACGTCTGCTCAAGTCTTAAGGACCCTCTTTCTTTACTGCTGGTGACCCCATTCCTCAAATTCTATTTCCAGCTCCATCTCTGGCAAGTTACTTAACCTCATAAATTGCCTCGTTTTTTAAAAATCTCTACTGAACATTATAAAAGCAGTCACCTGAAGGCTGTCCAAAAGATTAAATGAATACACAAACTACTTGGAGCCCAGTGAGTCAACGCTTTGAAGGATCCACCACCTCCTTCTTCTAGCTCTTGTTCCAGATCTTTGCACCCGGTACTTACCTGCCTGCTATGGACTCTGGAGCTGGGGGCCGCTGGGCGAAGCTCTAGGAGGTTGGCCTGGGGTCGGAGGTGCTGAAAGAAGCAGCTGGCTAGAATAGGGGTTGTCTGTGCACTGCGCCAGGGTAAGCGCGCCCCCTAGTGGGAGCTGCTGCACTGTACTAGCCCTGAGGGCCAGATCCAAGAAAGTTCAGTGTTGTGGGGGCGCTGCGGGGTGGTGGTGGTGGGGTAGGGGCGATAAGCTGTCTGGACCTATGGAAATAGGAGTGGGGTTCTGGCGGGGCAGAAGTCGGTACCTGAGTGCGCGCAGACGAGACCGAGCCCAGCGGCTAGCGCAGCACCCAGCACGAATGCCGCCAACACCAACGCCACCACTGGTGCCGGCTCCAGAGCTGCAGTGACTGGAGCGGGCGGTTCCGGACCCAGGGCCCTGCCCGGGAGGCTCTTGGACGGCCCTATGGGGATGTGGGATGTGTGCAAGGCTGAGACCAGGCCATGGACCTAGTTGCATTTCCCTCCCGGGTTCCAGGGCCTCTTGCGAGCTTACTAGGGGGCGGACGAGGTACTGTGACTACGATGGGCTGAGTCAGCGTGTGCAGATGGTTGCTGTCGGTACCAAGGCTCTCACCGCTGCCCGCGCATGCCTCATCCTGAGGCAGACACTGGGTTGGGAGGGGAGATACCAGACATCAGGGCCGTGGTGATTCTGGGATGGTCCCCCAGAGCTCCTAAAATGGACTTACTTAAACTTCCATGTTTCTACTAGAGGCAGGAGGTCACCACAGGACTCCTGTGCCCAACCCCTAACAGAGACGTGGTTTCAGCCCTAGGACACCCCATATGCCAGCCTCTCGTCCCAAGTGAGGCACGCAAAGCAGGTGCGCAGAGATTTGGACGTGTCACGGTTATCTGCATCCAATCTTACAGCCCTAAAAGAACTTCAGATTCCCACCCGAGGAACCCAGAACCCAAGGCTGTGCATTTCCTGTCTCCCGGGGAGTACTTGTGCAGGGAGATCCACGAAGGGTAGCTCTGTACCCAGTACCCTTCCTAAGAGGAACCGAGATCTTAAAACACTCTGCCTCCCAGGTCCATAAGCTGCTGGGGAGGCTTATGACTAGCTACAGAGAATCTTCCGCGCGTGCTCAGGCTACTGCTTCTGCAAGCGCGCACCTGCGAAGGCGCTGGTGGGGTCAGAGGCGTTGGTGTCTGGCGGACAGCTCGGTGGCTTCGACGGCGGCAGCGACTCATCTGGCATTGCAAGAACTGCACTGAGGCGTTGAATACTGGGCGCAGGCGGAAGCTGAAGCGTGTGGGGCGAGCAGCATCCGGGTGTGGAGGTGGTGAGAAGCTGACAGAGCTGTCAGCGGGGCAGCCCCCACGTAGAAGCACCAGAGCAGGCCCCAGGGCCGGGCGTGAGGAAGGCGTTACTGAGCAGCGATGCAAGGCCAGGTCCCATCTCCGTGAAGGACGGGCCAGGGCCGCCTGAGGGACCAAGGCACCATCAAGGTCGACCGGTCCCCATTTATTCCCACCCACCCACGGTGTTTCAGGCAGCCGCACCTGCACAAACACAAGGCTGTCGGCCGGAACCTCCAGTGGCCCAGTGCGGCGAGGGAATGAGTCCTCTGTGTCTGATAAATCCAGACTGAAAAGGGGTCTGCGAAGCCAGGGGCCAGGTGCCCCAGGGAACGGGGGTGCTGAAAGGGAGCAGAGCAAGGAGGGACACATTCCTTCTAGCCGAGGGCCTCTGCCTCTAGCCTCTCTTGGAAAAGGGACGCATGATAGGTGGTCTCTTTTTTAACCAGAGCTCAGCTATGTGCCAAATTCTCTCCAAGTTACTACCATATACCCGCTAGTGACATCACTGTCTAGTAGTCAAAACCCGCACAAAGCTGTGTTCCTTCCTTTTCCGACCTCCTTTGCCACCCGCAGACTAGCAAGGGGGTCAGGGGATACACGGAGCCTGTGATGGTGTTCAGTTGGGCAAAATCAAATCAGGGTTCTCTGCCTGGTCCAGGTTGCTCTAAGTCTTAGTCTAAGAGATGCGTTATGACCCACTGACCACTAAGGAGAGGTAGGTGCTGACATCCGCTGTGCTCAGGAGAGCACCCTCCCTAGAAGGCAAGTGGAATGGGAATTTCGGTTCAATAGAGATCCAAGGCCCCAGATAAACGGAGGACAGCTCCAACAGGTGATGGTGGACAGTCTCTTCCTTTGTGCTCACCCAGGCCTGCACTTATGTGCACTAACAGGCTCTATACAGGTCAGTGACTGCCATCAAGTGGCAGTTGGTTGGGTTTTTTTTTTTCTCAAGAATGACTTGCACACCTGGCCCCAATCTCACAACCCCTGCCATCGCCTGGTTGAGAACTTTGAGGAAACTGGCAGAGTGGCTAGCTTGGGAGAAAGACAAGGGGACGGACTCCCCCCCCCCCACCACACACACACTCAGGTGCAAAACTAAGCTGAGAAAGAACGATAGGGAAGTGGGACATGTTGCCCCCGCCCCCTGTGCCAGCTTCTACATACCAAGTGGTGCATTGAGCACACTGGCTGTCCCAGGGAGCAGAGCCAGGAGCAGGAGTATAGTGCCCACCATGGTGGCCTGTCCAGGTTGGAGTGCTCCAGACCAGCAGCAGGCACCTGGTTGGGCTGTCCTCAGCCCTGTGGGTAGGTGTGGGTAGGCAGCCCTGGCCTTGGAGCGTCTGCCACTCAGGGAAGCAGGGAGCAGGAGCGGGGGCGGAGGATGCAGGCGCTGACATTAGAGCGCATGCTCAAGGCCTGCATGGATACGGGCTTTCTTATGTGCTGAGATTCCTAGGGCAAGGGGACCCCTCACAAGGTGGCATGACACCCTAAGTCACTCTAAACACCTCCTGTTCCGCTCCCAGCTGTGTCTCATGAATGCAGTGTTTACCCACACACTAAAAGCCTCCTCCCAGCCCCTTCCCGAGTCTATAATTCTATCAGGCTTAGGACACCATATTCAGAAGAAAAGGGAAGGGTTTTATTCTCAAGCATCTAAGGATTTACAAACAAGGGTACTTTGTTTTAAAAAGGGAGAGAGCAACACTGGTGGCCTGAGGAGGAGTCCATGGGCCAGAGGGTAGGACCAGGCCACTCCAGGTCCTTACCTGCCTGACACCCACTCTGCCTGGGCCAGAGGGATGGCTGGTGACAGAGGGAAGGATTTGGGAGAGGTGGGGAAGTGGGAGACTCCCCCAGGCTCCCATTTAACACTGGAGGGGGGTGGACACAGACAGAGACAGACAGACAACAGACAGACAGACAGACAGAGACACGCACAGAAAATAAAGTTAAATAAAAATAAAACCATGTGGCCCAGTCTTGGGCCTGTGCTGGCACGGGAACCAGCCAAGTGACCTAACTACCCATGGAGGCTGCCCATGCTGGTGGCTAGCCTCAGAATGGTAAAGGTGGGGGCCAGGCTTGTTACTGTACCCCTACTTCACTCCACCTCCCCAACATAGGGAGTAAGGAGGGGGCCCTGCCCCAGGCATAGAAGATGACCTCTATTGCAATTTAAACATGCGCATTGTGTGAGTATGATGAAGATGAGTCAACAGGATAGTTAAGAGCCACAGTGTCACCTAAGCCTACAGTTGCATCAGCTACATCCAGCAAAGTTTCTCAGCTTTGGTGCTGGGTTTTGTTTGTGGTCTTAAAGTATGTTTTGCTTTGTTCTGTTCTATTGTTCTCTTGTCCACTTGATTTGCATGCATCACCAACAAAAAAGAAACATACCCACCCTATCCTGGCTATTGCAGGACAATGGGACAGACACCTGGCCCAGTCCAGGCCACAAGGTGGGTTGGAGCTGGCCAGCTCTGGGTGAGCTAAGGGACGCTCAGGGGCACAATGGGAGTAAGTCACTTCACATACCAATACCCTGGCCTTCCTCGCTCGCACTCAAGCCATCCTGTCTCTGACACACGTGCTCGGACCTCCACATCTACTCCCGTGATTCCCAATCCCTGACTTCTTCGGAACCCCTCCTTCTGCCCCTCAGCCTCACTCCTGCCACGATTCCCTCCAGCCCCTCCCTCCTACCTGCTATTCTCTACTGCACCCCTCAGACACCTTTCCGGAAGGCCATCTGTGTGGCCGAGGCCCCTTGGTCTCCCTCGGTACCACCTGAGCTCTTTTACTCAGCCCCAAGCTGTAACCAGTCCCCAGTCCCATGTGAGGATCCCCCAACTGAGCCTGGTCTCTCCAGGCCAGAGCTGACAAAGAGCAGCAGCAAGCAGTCCAACCCCGCAATGCCTGAGGGCAATGGAGAGGAGGGGGCCCACCACAAGCAGCTAAACATTACTTTGGTAAAAGTTTCTGAAGGTACCGACACACCCCATGAGGACAAGCCCCCCCCCACACCCCACCAAGTACAATAAAATACAATAAACTCCAAAAAGGACCCCCTGAGATCAAAGAGAGAGACAGACAGACACAGAGACAGCAACCCATTTGGCTGCAGTCGCAATGCCCACAAAGCTATCCTGGGGCAAGGACTTGAGGAGGCCTGGGTGGACCTGGGGCTTCCACTGAGGGGTAGGAGTGGCTGGGCCCAGGCTTAGGCTAGGAGAGAGGAGGCTGGGAGGGAGACAGGAAACCAGAAAGGGACAAAGGAAGGAAGGGAGGGGGGAGGGAAAGATGGAGAGCAAGCATGTGTGAGAGACAGTGGAGAGACAGACACTAGGAGTGTGGGGAAAGGGACAGGGGCTTTCTCTCTGCCCCTAGGGGTCACCCCAGCCCAGAGGTTCTGATTGAATAAATAGCGAGTCTGCTCATGGCCTGCTGTCTTCTGTTCACAGTGTCTGTCGGGGTGGGGTGGGGTTCGCATAGCTGGCTGACCCCAGAGTGGGAAGAATTAGGGACCAGCATGCCCATCCGTCCACCGCTGGTGGGTAGGGAGTCAGAGGTGGATGGGTACCCCTACTTTCTGTCCTCAGCCCTCGGCAGCCGTCCAGGTCCCAGGTCCCCTGATGGGCAGCTGGATTGGCCAGGTGGGAAAGGGGGGCCTGTGGCCATGCCCCTGGGCCCCTGTGGGGCTGGCCGCTGCCATGAGGCTACCTGAAGAAGGGCAGGTGGTGTTGGCTTAGGACTCCACTAGTCCTTGGAGACTCGGTCTTTGCCATGACGTCCTTGAACCAGGATGCCACATCCACCTCGAGTGTCTCATAGTGCTTGATGAAGCTGTGTTCCTGTAGGCCCAAGAGTTAGCTTAGGATGAGGGGTCAGTCCTCCGGGTCCGGTAACTGAGGCCGGGAGGACTTCACATGTGGCGGGGATTGGGGGCTAGGTACTCACAAGTAGCTTATTATACTTTGGTCTCTTCCTGTGATCTTTAGTAAGGCTGGATGAAGAGTGGGAAGAAAAGAGAAATGAAAGTCAGGGAGGGAAGAGAAATGAGAATCAGGGAGGTGGAGCCTGGCCGTGCCAGGATGCGCACCTGTGCTCAGGCCCTCCCCAGTGATAAAGGGGTCTTCCACATCAGCCAGAAGCAGCTGCTCACAGCCAGGCTCCACCAGGCTGGGGATCCACAAAGTCTCCTGGCTCAGGGTAGCATGGTGAAGACCCAGCTGGGGAGTTGGAACCAGAATACGAGGCTCATACCAGAGGAAGTTAAGACTCAGCCGTGGCCTTCCTGCATAACCTCCCTGGCAAAGCCCTAGGGTTACCATGCCAGTCACCCACAGGGCCAGCTGTCCCCTCAGGCCAGGTCCAAACCCAGAAAGTGATTCCTAAGGCTTTAGCATTAGGTTCTGTCGACAGTCTCTAGCCACAAGCTATCTGTGACTGCCTACCTCATCCCTTCCCCTTTCCCCAGCAGCACGAGGACACCTGACATTCCAGAACATCCCGAGTAGAGGAGGAGGAGAAAGGACAGGCAGAGTGGGGGGTGCTCACCAGTCTTTCACGAATGACTGGAAGTCCCCTGAGAAGCCCATGTGACCAGGCAGGAGTGGGGGCTCTTCCTGTAGGACTTTAGTGAGGACCTCAAAGTCTGTCTTGCAGTTCTTGTAGGGAAACTGTCCCGTTGCCAGCTCCACCTGGGAGGTGACAGGCATTGCTGGAGCAGCAGGTAAGAGATCCCTGCCCTCCCACCAAGTCCCCATACAGGAGCCCCAACACACCAATGATATGCCCAGGCTCCACACATCGGCTCGGATGTCATAGTCAGGCTTGGTGGGGTCTGGTGGGTCAATGCGCTCAGGCTGCAGGGAGGAAGAGGAGAATATACCTTAAAGGCAGGGCCAGCCCCGCCAACCCCCTTGTCAGACCCAGCGGGCCCACTTACAGCCATGTAGGCGGCACAGCCAGCACTCCGCGTTTTGGCCTTAGAGTCAACAAGGCGGCCACTGATGCCGAAGTCGCAGAGCTTGATCTGGCCCCGTTCATCTAGCAGGATGTTGGAGGGTTTGACATCACGATGGATGACACCATGCTTCTCCTTCAGATAGTACAGCGCTTTCACAATCTGTGGGACAGACAGACAGGGTCCTGTCACGGTGGGACAGAACCTAGAGGCACCCCCTAGTCACACGAGCCCACACTTAGGCACTCACTGCCACAGTCATCTTGCCCAAGATCCGCTCTGGAATGGGGCCCTGCATTCGCTTCTTCAGCTTCTCGGCACACGTGCCCATGAGCTCCATGGCAATGAAGACATCTGTCTGTAGAGGGAGGTGGCACACAGGGCTTGGGGCAGCCATGCTTTCCTCCCCACCCTAGCCACACTCTGGTACCTGGGGACATGGAGGACCCTATGGGACAGAAGGATGCCCTGAGACCTCTGGGCATGGAGGACCCTATGGGGCAGAAGGCTTGGCCTCTCAGGCAGGTGCTCACATTGGTGATGAAGGTGCCAAAGCACTGAACAATGTAGGGGCAGTCGTGGCTCTTGAGGACCACGTCCAGGTCCATCAGGATGCGCTTATTCTCCTCCTTGTTCCCCGAGCGCCGCATTTGCTGCAAGGAGGGACAGCCAGGAGGGGAGCTTCAAGTGCTGGGCAGGCTGCAAGGGCATAGGATACATCCTGGAACTGGGGTGTGGAAGGCTCACCTTGACAGCAATGATGTGGCCTGTCTTCCGGAAGCGCATCTTCCACACCTGACCACAGGTACCGCTGCCCATCTCGCCCAGGTTCTCCAAGTCATTGATTTCTGCCTGATAACGCTGGGTGGAGAGCAAGGCAGCTGGAGGGTCCCCAGAGCCTCTGCTCCTGTCACCCACCACCTCTAGCCTGCCTGGGTCCTGTCACAGCCCCCAGGGTGCCTATGGGGAAGTAGTACCTGGCCCCCGATGGTCAGGTACCCTGTCTGCTTCATGATCTCCTGCAGCTTCTGGTCAATCTCCATGCTGAAGGACAAAACACGAGCTGGTCAGAAGGGCCCCACAGATGCCACCGCCTCCCTGGAATCACAACAAGGAGGACCCAGTGTGGCCCTGCTCCACCAGCTTACCTCTCCATACTGCGGGGTGTGAACAAGGTTGGTGGGAGCCCCAGCATGTGGCGGGGCCGGGTGGGGGGCGTAGGGTGCTGTGGGGAGCTCTCTGAGGATGGTGAGCGGCTGCCCCCATCGTTGGCCAGTGGGAGCTGCAGGGCTGGCGGGTTAAAAACCAGGGGCATGAAAAGAGTTAGCATTTAGCTGGTCAAAAGGGGTCAGGGTTCTCATCTTCTCCTCTCTCGTGTCCCTTTGGCCAGGCTGGCTGGCACAGCCCCCTGATCTGCTGGATTGGGTCTCCTTCCCCACCCCCTGGGACATCTCCAGGGTACCACCTCTACCCCTCTGATCTGAAAAGAGATGGGATGGGATGGTGGGAGAGGGGTGTTTCAGAGGC